GGGGGGTTTCTTATGTGGGTGTGTTATCTTGTGTCGTCTACGGTAGTTTCTTGTTTCATCGCCTCTACTCTGTCGAGTTTATATAGTGTAGTCTACATGGAATGAAGAGGATCCACCGGTGAGCTGTGTTTCCTAACCCTATTTTCTTAATTGTGTGAAAATATTTGAGGCTTTGTTTCTTCATTCATGAACCTTCCTTTACGTCCGTGCCCGTTCTGTAGTGCAATCCAGCAATGGCTTTCCAGCCTTCTCTCGAGACCTCCATCACGTAAAACTGGTGTTTGCCCATGTGAGCGCTTATTATTATGCTCAAAACGTTAGTCCGAAAGAGAGAGACGACTACAAGCTGCTTCAGAGGAGCACCAAGCAGCAGCAGTAGCGATTTTTCGACCGGCCGTGTACCGCCAGAGCACTGGCCATGCGGAGAACCAAACTGGTACTACAGCACAAGGGTTTGTGCCGCATACGCCGAAACGCTGAGTGAATAGCGAGTCACAAGACGAATGGTAATTTGGCGTTGATATTGCTGACTTCGTAGTGTATGTTGTGGCTCGTTGTGTTTACCGACATAAACAAATGCGCTGAAAAGCGCAACCAACAGCGCGGGTAATCGCAACTTTCGGAATTCTTTTAGGAAATGCGGCGCTCCTCGTACAGTTTGATTCCTGAACGAAACAGACAGGAAGAACCTTGCGAAAGAGTCTGTTTGACACTACACTGGTCTTACGTACGTACGTACGTTCGTAGTTTGGATGCGTGCACACTTCTTGACGTGGAACGGGATGTTGGTCGGCAGCGGCGAGCGATGGTGTTGAGCTGGGAGGTGCAGATGACAAAGCTCGGGGAGACAAACGTGCTCGTGCGTGTGTACAATCATGTTGCAGGGCACAGGAATGGATGTTGGATGGGCCACTGAGCATTGCACCCATTTCGTGCCACTTGAAATACCACACTACCTCCGGGTCTGCATACATCCGGTACTGGTATTCTATTACTAGATACTCCTCCTTTTCAAAGCAATGCATGACACCCCACCCCTACCTAATGATGGGTGTGATAAAAGCACCACACTATTTCACCCACCACACGGCCGTAAAAAATGCACGTACAAATGAGCAAAATTACGAAGTGCGGAGAGTGCGGCATGTGGAGTGCTTATGGGAAGCACTAGAAGAGAGCACTGAGAAAGCGGGCATTGAGTCCACGAACTGGACGCGCGCCAACTGCTTGTCGAGGGAGGAGGTTTACTGTATCATTTGTTCTTGGTGGGCAAGCGACAATGGATAGCACAATGGTACCTCTAGCAGTCGACGTGGTTGTCGAAGCACGTCACGCTCTTTTTGCACCACGGCGGGAAAAATGGAAAATGCACCCACCCACCCACCGCGAATAAAAAACAGCAGTATTGAAAAGCGTCTGCTGCTCAGGAGCTGTCAACTACGGCATTTGCGTAGATAAAATGTACGACACACTCATCGATGATACGTGCCGCCGCCGCCGCCGCCGCCGCCGCAGCAGCAGCAGCAGCAGTCATTTGGATACACTCAACGGAAATCGACTACTGCATGATGCCACCTCGACCCTCGACCTGATCTATGTGGTACTTGGTATTAAGCATAACAGTTTTTTGCACCTCACGGCGACACGCTTTGTTTGGGAAAGAATCAACAATGCACGTATTATATTGCTAAGTGCGCAATGCGGAGAAGAAAAATGTCTGGCAGTAACATATACAGTGTGTGTGTTGGCATGCCGCGAGCACTCGCGAGCTGAGAATATTTTGTGTGCGCGCAAGGAACTACGCCAGAGGTCCGGCAGTCGTTCGGTTGTCTGTTGTTCGTCTCTCTCTTGTTAGAGAATAACCTATGGCCTTTGCCCGGCTGTTTTTTTTTTCTTCCCTTGAAATAGGTGTTAGATTAGTAATTCCGCCGGAAACGGGACTTCGAACATGAGCTCTACCTATCTGAATAATCTGTTCGCACTAGCGCGCACGTTCATAAGACTTGGTACACCTTGGCGCCCACGTTTGGTGCGTAGCAAGCGACGCGGGTGCCCCAATTGCTGCTACGGTAAGGAAATTAGTACCACATTGTTGGTATGTACCAACACGGCGAGTTTGTTTTTTTACTGATCTTGTCGCGTCTGCCCTGTCGGATAACATTGCTGATCGCAGGAGATCGGCAAAGTTTCATTCAGGGCACACTTCCCTCGGGACTACCCCCAGACGCCGCCAACCCTTCTGCTAACGGAGGAGCTCATACACCCCAACTGGCAGTACCCCACCAGGGGCCTGCAGCTGCCGCATCTCACGAAGGAGGGTTGGGACCCCGACATGACTATCCCTAAGGTGGGGAAGAAGCTGTATTATAGTAGTTGCAGCAGTAGTACTCAGCAAGCAGATGTGTGTAGAGGGGGATCAGCTGGTTTCTATGCATGTGTACAGAGCTTATCTTTTGATTGAAGGACATCGAATTGTAGACGTCTTGCAACGTGTTTGTTTCTCTTTTTTGTTGTTTGTTGACGGCGTTGTGTTGCTTTTGGGCGTCGCCTGATGGGCCTGTGCCTGCCTTCCTGCTGCAGGGGGGGGCTCTCCGCTGAAAGCATGTGGATTACCACCCATTTTCGTACATCCGCAATACACAAATGATAATATTTCTTGTATGTACAGGGGGCGGTTTCTTGTGCGCCGTGCGGGTGGAAGAATGATCTCCCTCCTATCTCGACCCTCGGTTGATTCTTGCACCAACCTATCAACCGTTCATGCTGCCGTAACCGCAAGAAGAATCACATCTATTTTACCAACGAAGATCATTAACCCTGACGAAATCCTCTCGCTATGCATACAATACCCCAACGCTACACTGATCAGCTGCTGCTGAACCTGAGGGAGATCATCCAGCGACCGGACGTGACCGCGCTGAGCCTCCTGTGGCGAGAAGGCGCGGGCCCCCTGGTGGACAGCGGCACCTCCCTTGACTCCCGGGGGCAGCTCGACACGGAGCAGATGCAGCCGATCAGCAGTCCCACCGCACGAGCGGCGGCCGCGGCCGCTTCCGCGGCGGGGGGCGGGGGATCGAAGGGTTCCTTTACCTCCACGGCTAGCTCGCCGATGAAGCGGGCCGACGATTTCGCCTCGCCGTTATCGCCGCCACCGCCGCCGCCGCCGCCGCCACCCGACGAGGACGACCCGGCGATCGCCGCCGGTGACGCCACCGCCACGTCGACCGCGGCCGGCTGGACATCGGCGCGCAAGGGCATCGACAGCGAGCTAGCGCTGCTGTACCTGCTGGACGTGTCCGCCTTCCACCGGCTCGTGGCCAGGCACCAACAAC